CATCCTGTTGTCCCCCAGGACTCCCAGGTCCCTTTCCACAGAGCTGCTCTCCAGCAGGTCACCCCCAACCTGTACTGGTGCGTGGGGTTATTCCTCCCCAGATGCAGTACCCTACACTCGCCCTTGTTGAATTTCATAAGGTAAGATGAGATCCCCCTCAGTCTTCTCTTCTCCAGACTGAACAGCCCCACGTCCCTTAGCCTTTCCTCATAAGAAGGATGCTCCAGTCCCCCCATCATCTTTGTAGCCCTTTGCTGGACCACCCGGTGATGGTGTTGCCCACATGGGTGCCGCACGCTGCCCTGTGTGTGTCCTGCCTCATCCCAACACAGGGGGTACTTGGCACACGTTTGGGATGGGGAACAAGAAGAAGTGAGGCGAGGGGAGAGCTAGCGTGTGGTTTAACGGACACTGTGGTCGAGCTTTTTAACTGTCGGAACCAAAATACAAATGGCAAAGATCTCCTCAGGGTTTGTGGACGTGCAGCTCTTAAAGTGTGGTCCTTCAGAGCTGGGAGCGGGGAGGTGTTTGTGCCCGGAGGTGGCTCTGAGCCCAAATTCACCCTTGCCAGCGGTGGTAACTCACCTTCTCACCTCAGTTCTCCAGGGGATGGGGGGAAGCGGGTTCCTGTCTTTCCCAGAAGGCGGCTGTTGGTACCTCTCACTTCCCACGTGTCTCTCGTTGTAGGAAGCGTTCCCGCCTGACACACCACCAGGAAGACAAAACCCAGCAAAACTACCAAGAAACTACCTGGAGCACAGAGACCTCGGATTTACAAGACTTGACACTCAGAGACATTCATATCATTTATTGAGTTGCGCTTTGACATTTTACTTGGGGTTTTCCAGACTCCGCTGGATCCTATTGGATATAGATTTTTTTTTTTTATATATATATATATATTGTGACAAAAGTATGCCATATTTCTAACTGTACTGCATATTTTTTACAGGTTTTCAATTTTGCATTCCCTCTCACGCATAGCCTCTTCAGCTGCAGACCCAGACACACCTCGCAGGGCTCAAAGGGGCGCTTTTTTAAGTCGTATTCCCTCCGCCTCGTCAGGGATAACGGAGATAAGCCACAGCCGCGCGTATTCTGAGCGCGGGATCCGTACACGCCTTCAAAAAGCCATGGCGGGGGGCGGGGGGGGGGCCTTCTGCCGGGAGGGGCAGTTTTAAAAAAAAAAAACAAACAAACTCAGACTTCAGTTTTGTGCAGCGTTTCCGATTGCCTCTTGATTTTCTTTTATTTTAGGTTTTTTTTTTTTTAAGCTGGAGGGAGCTTTGAGACTCCGGCCGCGACCCCCCCCGGGCGTGCAGAGCGGAGCTGCCGCCGCCTTCGCTCCGAGTCTCCTCCCCGTTGGGTTTCAGCCCCCCCTCCTCCCCGATGTGTGACCACAGTAGGGTTTTGTGGTGTAGCCAACATCTTAATAGCTGACTAGGATTAAGGAAGACTGGAAGTTGCTTCAAGTATCTTATACTGTGAATTTTAGAGCTTTAAGAGGACTGTGATAGCATCTCGCCTTCCTCCCGTGTGTCTCTGCCGAGTGCTCCCTACCTGTTTGTGTTTTCTAGATGCCATTAAATTAAAAAAGCCCTTAGAAGTGTGCGTTTAAGGTGTTTGGACTCTGAATGCTATTAAGGTAGGCTTATGCAGCATTCACAGTAACTGATTTTTTTTTCAGTGTCATAGTTTTTCACTTGTTTGTGTTCATGATTTTTAAATTAGGGTTGGGTTTTTTTGTTTTGTTTTGTTTTGTTTTTTAATTGGCACGGGGTTTTTTTTTTCCTCCCCTCACAGTGCTATATAAAACTAAACACATTACCCATCTATCCTGCTATCATTTAATTTAAAATCCTCTAGACAGTCCTTCCCAGCCCTGTAAGCCGTATGTGGAGAGGCTGAAGAAGACATCTTAGGAGGTGTCGGGTGTTCGCTGGTCGCGATGGAGCCAAACCAGTGGAAGGTGCTGCCACCACCTCTTCCACGCTGCCGTAAGGGGCTGTACTTCGTTTGGCTTCGCGACCGCCTTGCTGGAATGAAACACCGGGCTTAGCGTCCGCGGCTTTAGGCTGAGCTTACGGACCACCGGGGCCATCTCCAGCGTGGTGGAGACCACCCGAAAACATCTTTCCCGGGGTTGGATGCGCTTCGCTCCACGGCACCGGGGGCTGAGCTCCCGCTGCCGCTTTCTGAGCTTCGTGGAAATGTTCTGATCGCGCCCTGGTTTCTCCTTCCAGCATTTATATTTAAAAAAAAAAAACACCACACCACCCAAACCCAAGTTTTGTAAAGAGTCTGCCCAGACACTTGTGAACACTTTGAGGTTGTGGTTCTTTTTCTTTTTTTTTAATTTTTTTTTTAAATATATATATAGCGTGGCACATTAGTAGCTGAGGGCATGGAGCGCTCTGCTGCTGCTCCTCAGTTGAGGATGGGAAGAAAATGGCAATAAAAAAAAAAAGCTCTCTGCTATTTTAAATTGGAATAATGTGTTTCTGAAGTTACTGGATTTAGCTCGGGCTGCGGCGACTTGCTGGTTAGCTGCAAACCGCCTTCGAACTACACTGGGGCCAGTGTAGCTTCTCCGATTCAGGTGCAATTTTCATTAAGCCGTCAGTATTGATTGGAGACGATGCTGAAAACGCCGGAGCTGCTGGAGGTTTTTTTGCTTTTTTTCGAGCCTTGCTGGCCGCGGGTCCTTCTCAGCCTCCAGCCTTCCCATGCCGGTAGCTGCTTCCCGGGCTGCTCCAGGTGCGTGCTCCCCTGCCGCGATGCTCTGCCTTCCGCTGGGTCCCGGGCATCCCGGGCAGGGGATTTAGGGAGTCCTGAGCTCCACGGCTGTAGTGTAGAGATTTAAGTCTTTTTCTTTATGTCTAAACAGCCCTTTCCTTCCTTATTCTGCACCGCAGATCCTTGAACGGGTCTGTGTCCCCGCTGTCCTCAACGTAGTTGGGTATCGCTTGCCTTAAACGCCCATCACGCTGAGCATCCCTCTGGCAAGGTCCCCGTTCGGGGAATTTAGGGTTTTTTTGCCGCTCGGTCCTTCTTTTCTCCCTCCGTCGCGGCTCCCCGAGGAGCAAACGGGCACGCCAGGTAGTCATTAACAGGATTTCGGCGCTTTACCAGACAAAGCCGGGCCCATCCAGATCAAGTCTGTCCGTAGCACTTACAGGCGCTTGGCTGGCAGGAGAATTTGGGGGAAGGGGGCGGTGCGCGGCCGCAGCTTGGCGCTGGCTGTGCCGTGGGGGCGTCCCGTGCCCTGAGCGCGGTGAGCGGGACAAAACACCCCACGAGCAGGGGATTGCTGAGGCGAGAAACCCGCTGGCACGAGAGGTCGTTCCTTTCCAAAAGGATGTGCTCGCCGTGGCTGCGTACGTCCCCTTTTAGGGGCCCATAGAATTACCTTTTTTTTTTTAATTATTTTTTTTTAAATTTTTAAAAATTTAAATTTAAAAAAAATTTCCCCCCCTGGATTTGGAGTGACTTTTTCCTGGTTGTTCATTTTCACACTTCCCCCTTCCCAAGTTCTCGCTTCTCCTCCGGTATTTTAAACAAGTTATCGCCTCCTCCGACCTTTGCCATCGCCCTGCTGGCTCACCCCACGGGGTTGGGGGGGGGGATTTTCCGAATCTCTCCAGCTGAGCCCGGGAGCTGGAGAGGAGCGGCGGCAGCCTGGGAAGAAGATAAAAGTTAAGAGCAGAAGAAGCTTCTTCCATCCTCAGCCGGGGCTGCCCGCGCCCCTTCCACCTCCGAGGGGTTTTTAAAATCCTCGGCTCCGAGCGTGCTGGGTTATTTCTAGGGGACAAACCAGCTAAGTAAGGTCTATTTATACGAATGTTCCCTCCTCTTCCCACTCCGCAAATTCACCCAGAGACTGTCTTGATTGTATAATATACATTATATGGAAGCTATTTATATATGAATGAATGTTTTTATAGAAAGGAAGGCAAGGAGCTCGTGTTCTCCTCCATTAAACTGGAACGGCAGC